TCTCTCTCTCTCTCTCTCTCTCTTTCTCCCTCTGCCTCTCCATGTGTATGCATGTGTATGTATGCGCGTGCTCTCGGATGCGCGCTCGCGATTTCCACGACGCGAATTTCATGAAACTCGCAAAGTGATTATCCGGATCCCCTCGTGTGTCGCGCGTCGTCGTAGAAGTCAAAGAAGCATTGACGCGGCTATATAACTTTGGAGGATCACCTCGGCTTGATTTATCGCTCGTCGCGAGCGTGTACGGAGCATGAGAATGAGGTCATACGCGTTAAATGTGTCCAGACGGCGCATTAAAATTACGACAGCTCGTGTATCGAACGGCCGACGATACTGATTTGTAATAAGGTATCGCTGATTGCAGGTACGAGAGGCTCCTCAGGCGGGCGAAGACGGAGGACCTGACCGAGATCTCGGGGATCGGCTGCCTGTATCAGAGTGGCGTGGACCGACAGGGTCGGCCGGTGATCGTTTTCGTCGGCAAATGGTTCCCAGCCAGCAAAATCAATTTGGACAAGGTACAGTGATTGGTCGCGCATTTCTCATCGCGCTCCTTTCCACACACTGACAAGGTTAATTTCTCACCAAAAGTTATAGTTGTCTTTGACGTCAGTCGTATCTCCTTGTGTGTTGATCCTACAAAAAAGTGGTAAGGTAAAAGTACTTGCATTACTGCCTGGACACATAACTCCAGACATTCTTATCGTTTTGGTCTAAATGCGAATATTTAAACTTTTAACATTGAATATGCATACATACGTCAAATGTATACGTATATTTTATGTTGAAAGTTTAAATATTCGTACTTGGAGATTAAACCATAAGATTGTCCAGAGTTACGTGTGCATTGATACTTTAATCTTAAAGAGATACTGAAGTAAATAACGAACTACAAAAATATCGATAACGTAAATGCGATCATACTATTCTTTTCGTATTTCTTGTACATATAGATCTTGTTTAAATGTGTTCTACTTGACTTTAAATTAATAAATAAATTATATTATATTAATATTAAATAAATTGCTCTGCTTTGTTCATGCTAGCAAGAAACATAAACATAATCACGCATATATAGGAATATTTCTGCAAACCTCTCGTTTATTTTTGAGCTTCTAAATTCAGTTGTAAAGAAATGTTTCTTCAAATGCTACGGAATTTTTGTATCAATAAAATAAATATTTACATCAGCTAACAGCTCGAGATGTCAATTTAAAAATTGTTTGTCGTTTTCGTGATGTATTGAGCAATGCTCCAATCTATTATTGCACGTGCTTTCAACGTGTAAAAACTCTTGCAATTCTGTGCAACCAATACGACGTAAACTTTGCAGAAAAAAGTCAATATTTGTCGGTAATTTTTCTCAAATATTGCATCCCTTTAATACATAGAAAAAAAACATATAGTTGTATTAACGTGAAGTTTGATGACAATAAACAAATCAACACACTTTTGTTGAAGGATACAGAATTTTTTATTTTTACGATCCTTTTGTTCTAAGAATCAAAAATTCCGTTTCCTTCAGCAAGAAAGCGTTGATTAACCAAATTCATTAACCAAATTCCACGTTAATACTTTTTTCCTGTATAACAATGTGCATATAAAATATTATCATGGTGACACTGTAGTAACATTTACTACAAAAATGGTTTTCTTGATTCTAATTTTTTCGCTATGTGATTATAGTCACAAATACCAAACACCTTTCTCTCAGTCCGCGGGAAAATGTTCTCTTAAATCAGCAAAATAAGTCGACAACACGCCGCACTTGGAATAAACGTTCTTTATTCCACGGTGATGTTATTGAAACTAATACTTGAGTTATTAAAACAATATATGATGTATTGATTTCAATAATATCGCTATTGTATCACACAAGAAGACTTATTCCAAAATTACAGCGTTGTTTACTAATTCTATCGATTCAACAACATCTTTTCCATGTGCCAACGTCAATTAAACCTTAATATGAGTCTCATCCTTTGTCTGAAGTGAGTTCTCAAAGGTCAAGTTTAATCGACTTTGGTGGAAACAGGCGTTGATGTTGTTGACTAAGGCCAAGTTTTTTCCACAACATCAGTTTAATTTTAACTACCGGTTAAATTCCAATAGTGATTGGTTAATTCTGACTAACTCTCCTTAATGTCAAATGCGATTGATCAAATCCAATAGAATAACCAGTTAAATTAATTGAGCCTAAGATACACGCGCCGCTCGAATGTAAAAAATCTGCGCCGTTTAACGCGACGAGATATAATATAAACGTCGCAAGCATTCTACGTCGATTATCATTTTACGAGCACATCTGTCGTAAACATTAGTTAAACATAGGACACGCGAGTACGCAAACATGAGTGTATCACCGAGATTAGAGCGCAACATATGGACGCTTCCTGTCGGCGTTGGACGAAAAATGGAAATCCCACTCGCGCGTCACATCCCAGTGAACACCGACTAGCAGTAACATAACTTCAATATTATGATTTCACATACGATCTTGCGAGCGTAACATAACATATGTTGTATGTAATAACAGTTACATTGTTGAGTGGAAAATTCTGTTTCATTTTCTATCCGAGTGTCCGTTGAACTACACGAATATAACGAGAATAATCCGCAAATTTATCGCGCGCGCTTTGGTTCAACTAATTGTAAATATATTAAAATGTTTGCACGCTACAAAAGAGAGCGTCTGTCAGACGACATTTAAAAGTACAAGCAGAGTTACGAAATAGATCAACTGGTCGAGGATATTTGTATTTTTATGTAATATACATGAGCGAGATTAACACAATTATATTTATCAATTATATATGGCACTATAAAATTCAATATGAAAATTATTGAAATCGTCCGTGATTGACACAGACAACTCTAGGCGACTAAACGACCTAAAAGTTTCTGGACATATAATATAATTATTAAATAGTTTGAAAATATATAAAGAATAAAAAATATATGTCTTTTTGGAGAGAATCTGTGTTGCAATAATTCGGGCTGATAAGCTTGATACATAATAAATACAGGATTATTTAGAACCCTAAACATCAAAAACCATATTATGTAAACCGTAAATATAGATAAATTTTACTCAGCATATTTTCATTTGCTCATAACTTCCGTCAAAATAATTCAATGCTTTTCTTTCTTAATCGGTGCAGAAAATGAATTTATTCATGAAGAATGACTTATTAATGTTTTTGTGATTTATTGACGTTGAAAAAGATTATAATAAACAACAAAACGCATATTTTTAGAAACGGTAACGTTTGAAATGTTGGTCTGGGCAAATTTTCTAGGTTAATCCTGACTGTAACACCAAGCGTGATCCAGACGTATTTAAATTTCACATTTAAAAATAAAAAAGCGCCAAGTCTGTGCGCTCCATTGCCCAAACAAAATTGAAACATAAAATTAAAATGAATCACTTAATCCCGACAACAAGTTTCATTCTAACTTTCAAAAATTTCTTCAAAATGATGCATGAGATCCACGTCAAAAGTAAAATAAAAATGAGAACAATGATTGCAGGTAATTCCACAAATTTAGCTGTCTATTTTTGGTAATATAGATCCGATCTATAAATAAAGCGTGTTACCGCTAGGATTCAGCAAAATCTGAAATTACAACACTGATGTAATGTCACTGTTGGTTGGTGTTTACTGAGATAGCGAGTATCTGTGCGAGTTCTATTTATTCTCGAGCAAATACCGAACGGCCGAGCTATCGATCGCCGCGTGTATAGTAATTTCGGCCGACCATGAAAATGCGATCGCAATCGTTTTCGCGGATCGCCCGCCGGTGTAGTTTTCAAATGTAATCGAAGATCGTTCACGTTCTACGACGGTGCAGCACAATGTCGTTCTTATAGCCACTCTCGACTGTCCTTTGCGATGTCATCGATTCGTCTGGCTCTCGCAGGGTAGAAAAAGGTGGGATATTCTCCTAGCGTGCAATTATCCTCGCTCCCCTCCGATACTTTGCTGGACGGTAACCTTTTGTCGTATTCATGCGTACACTCGCACTCGTTTCTTTTTCCATTCCTCCCTCTTTATCGCAACATCTCTGTGGCCGAGACTTTAATGCGATTTAATATACGCTCAAAAAGATGGTCTTACAGTTATCGCGAAAATTATCTACACGGAAAAAAAAATGTGCTAATATATGGACAACTAAAAATATTAACTGCAGGAGCAAATTTTCTTGCTTTCATAGTAAAAGTTATTTAGTTATGATAGCTAAACAATTTGCTAATATATGGACAACTAAAAATATTAACTGCAGGAGCAGATTTTCTTGCTTTCATAGTAAAAGTTATTTAGTTATGATAGCTAAACAATTTGCTAATATATGGACAACTAAAAATATTAACTGCAGGAGCAGATTTTCTTGCTTTCATAGTAAAAGTTATTTAGTTATGATAGCTAAACAATTTGCTAATATATGGACAACTAAAAATATTAACTGCAGGAGCAAATTTTCTTGCTTTCATAGTAAAAGTTATTTAGTTATGATAGCTAAACAATTTGCTAATATATATATTAGCAAATCTTTTAATAATATGAATAATATATGAATAATATATATATTAGAATAATATATATATGAATAATATATATATTAGCAAATCTTTTAGCTATATTAGCAAATCTTTTAATAATATGAATAATATATGAATAATATATATATTAGAATAATATATATATAAATAATATATATATTAGCAAATCTTTTAGCTATCACAACTAAATAATTTTTACTATGAAAGCAAAAAAATTTGTTCCTGTAGTTAATATTTTTAGTTGTCCATATATTAGCAAATCTTTCAGTTATCGCAATTAAATAATTTTTACTATGAAAGCAAAAAAATTTGTTCCTGTAGTTAATATTTTTAGTTGTCCATATATTAGCAAATCTTTCAGTTATCGCAATTAAATAATTTTTACTATGAAAGCAAAAAAATTTGTTCCTGTAGTTAATATTTTTAGTTGTCCATATATTAGCAAATCTTTCAGTTATCGCAATTAAATAATTTTTACTATGAAAGCAAAAAAATTTGTTCCTGTAGTTAATATTTTTAGTTGTCCATATATTAGCAAATCTTTTTTTCCGTGCAGATATGAAAAATTACACGGAAAAAAATAATTTGCTAGCTCAGCAAATTTTCTAGCAAAATCTTTTCGTTATTATATAGACAGCAAAAAGATTTGCTAAGAGTACTAATCACTATTTGCTGGATATAATTTATTGAATCTACGTTTTGCTTCGATAACAAATAAATCTGCTAAGAATACATTATTTTCCATCAATAGCAAATTAACGTGATTCTTAGGATAAATACACTCAACAAATTTTTTCTATCCTGGCAACGAAACTACTTCTGTTCTGATAACGAATAATTTAAAAAATTAGTTATGTCAACAAAATTTTTTTGATGTCACTACGAATATGCAATAACAACGACGATTTTGCTAAAAGAGCAAAATTATTTTTCTTCGTGTAGCTAAGATAGATTAGC